TAGTTATATGCAATATATACTACTTTTATATAGAAATGTACATACATTCCATAAGCATCTCTACGGTTTAACCTTTTTTGTATGGCTATAAAAAAGGCTTCTAATTTGCTTTTGTGCTCTCAGAAACGTCAATCCTTTACAGGAAAAGTAGGTATTTAAACAGTGATAGACTTTTTGCAATATACCCCATAATATTTAATAATGCCAAGAGATATGTTTACTGGAATACGTCTGTTTAGATGCTTTACTCTTACTGTTTTCTTTGTGGAAAATATTTTGGCTGAAACTCATGTCTTGGCAGCAGTAAATGGTCTGGTAAATTAGAAATCTATTACACTGGTTCCAGTAAAGGAGAAAATAGAGCAGTGATTTTTTTTGTAAGTAGGAATAAAATTCTAAAGCATTTACTGAGATCCACTTGAGGTTGCAGAAATTTAAATTAGCTCATGTTAGTAAGCCAGAAAATTGTCTCAAATGAACAAAGGATATTTTTTTTTTGTCTAAGCCTAAGTTCATTTGTAAGTAATTAATGAGCATATAATTTGCCCTTTCCCCTTTTCTGTTTCTCTCCCCTCTTGCCTTGGTGCTGGCAATTCATGACTTCCAGTGCATTACTTGGTTTTTCCCTGCAGCTTTGAGCTGTGCCTGGCATTGGGAACGCAACGAGGGGGACAGCACCTACAACTGGTGCTGCCTTGGTGCAGAGATGCCCCACAAAAGAGCATTTTTGCCAGTGCCAATGCCAAGGCCCATTCCTTCCTCCTACTTCCCTGAGCATCTCACAAGGCCCCAGTGTGCAGGTGCTGTTTCTGGTCCAGCCTTATAACGCAGCAAGAGGCTTCCTGCTTGTGGAATTTATGGAAAGGAACCAAGTCATTCACCTATGTCTTATGCCTTTCCTCAAGGTTGGATGTGGAATTTTTCTGGTTCTGCTTTGGTGGTTAAAAAATTCATTCTGCTGCTCACAGTGTCTCCTGGGTTGCCCAGAAAGGAGGTGGGTCTCTTGTGGTCACTATTACTGTGCAGCTGCAATCTCTCACAAAAGCAGGCTCTGGATCTCATTGCCCTACTGTCATTAAGAGTCAGACTTTAAAGTCTTAAAGACTTAAAAAAGTCTAAGAGCAGAAGAATTTCAGCACTTTTCCAGTGGGTTTAGAAATAACACATTCTGCCAAGCAATCCCTTACCACTGCCATTGAAGCAATTAAGTAATTATGGCTGCAGGAGTCCACAGGGTGCAGACAACCCTGCCAGCATGAGCCCTGGCCTGGTGATGTGATGGGGTCCTTGGGTGTGTGATGGGGGCTCTGGTGATGTGATGGGGTCCCTGGATGTGTAATGGGGTCTCTGGGTGTGTGATGGGGTCTCTGGGTGTGTGATAGGATCCCTGGGTGTGTGATGGGGGCTCTGGGTGTGTAATGCGGTCCCTGGGTGTGTGATGGGGTCCCTGGGTGTGTGATGGGATCTCTGGGTATTTCATGGGGTCCCTGGGTATGTGATGGGGTCCATGGGTGTGTGATGGGGTCTCTGGGTATTTCATGGGGTCCCTGGGTGTGTAATGGGGTCCCTGGGTGTGTGATGGGGTCTCTGGGTGTTAGACCATTTCTCTGTGACAAGGAAAGGCTGGGCTAGGCTGTCCTAGTGCTTTGCTGAGGCAGCGCTGGACACAGGCTGAAGCACAGGATGTGGATTTGCGTGTATGACATTAACCTGCAGTTCAATGGCATTATCCAGGGAGAGTGGCACTGAGTTGTGCATAAGGCAATCAGGAACAAAGTGTGTGTCATGGTTAAACCTCAGTCAGAAACTAAGCAAGCCTCATGCTTCCATTTGCACACTCTTCCTGGTAGGATGGGGAGAGAGAATCAGTAGAGTGAAAGTGAGGGAATTTGTGGGTTGACTATAAAGACAGTTTAACAGGGAAAGCAAAATCTATATATGAAAGCAAAGCAAAAAATTGAATTCATTCTCCACTTCAGTCAGAAAGTGGCAAATGGTTTAAGTGGAATAATTACAGATTCACTGTGGTAAAAAGAAAGAAAAAAATCAGACATTGAATGAGAGATCTAGACAGACTTCTAAGGAATACTTGTAATGTATGCAAGAGTGCAGTCAATATTTGCACCACTGATGCAAGAAAGCACAAAAGAGAAACTCTGGACAGTTGTTAGAGAGGAATAAAAAATCTTCTGTAGCTGTCCCTGCACCCAGAATGAGAGAGAAATTTTGCAGAATAAGAGTGATAAATTCAGAAGATGGAAAATCATGGGAAATGGGCACCAGGTTATTCCAGATGGAATGCCACTGCTTGTAGGTAAATTTAATAAAACTGGTGGAAGTTAAATAAAGACCCAGGAGAAAGCAAATGCCAAATTCCTACAGCAGCCAGTGGATAATAAGCCTGAGACATTACAAAAGGAATGATGATGATTCAGTGCACTACTTGGATGCAGTGCTGCAACTGTACAGAAGCAATTTCCACTGGATCTTAAGGAATAATATATAGCACAATTGTCCATAAAGCTTAGTGAAATAAAATTATATGTGTACAGGGCTGCACTTTATGACTAGGAAACACTGAAATTGCACTGCACATGTAGCACCTAATTCAGAGGGGTTTGTTGATTCTCTACATGCTTTTTCTCCTTACTAGTAATAATTAGCCCACGTAATTCGGGGTTAGTATATAACTGAAGCAAAGGACCCAGACTTATCTTCCTGTCAGCAGCAACAGCCAACTACAATGCTAAATATTTTTAAATTAATATGTCCACCCTGGGCCCATTGGTCCAAAATATACTCTGAAGAGAAATTTGTAGACCAGGAGAGAAGCACGTAGGGTTAGAGTTTTTCTGTTGTAATGTGGGACTGAGATGAAGTTCATTTCCCCAGAGCAGCCCTCATGCTGCTGTGTGTGCACTGGAAGCTGGAAAGCTGCTGATAACACACTGGTGTTTAGCTGCAGCTGAGCAGAGCTCAGCATCAGTGCTGTCTCCCTAAATTCCTGGCCAGGGGAGGGCAAGATCCCAGGAGGGAACACAACCAGGGCAGCTGACCCAAGTACTCCCAAGGGATATTCCATATCATGTGGTGTCAGCTCACATAAAGAAGGTAAGGAAAGGAAGAAGAAGGTGGGGAATTGGTTATTTACAATATTTGCCTTTTAGAGCAACCATGATGCATGCTGAAGTGCTGCTTCGTGGGAAGTGGCTGAATGTCATTACAAAAACGGAGAGTTAACCCTTATTTTTCTTTGTGTATGTGCAAACTTTTGCTTTTGCTTTAGTAAACTGCCTTATCTCAACCTGTGAGCTGTTTTCCATCTTTTTTTCTCTCCCCTGTCAAGCTGGAAGAGGAGAGATAGAACAGCTTGGTGGGCATCTGGCATCCAGCCAAAGTCAACCCACTGTTAAGTCCCAGGAAACTCATAAAAGAAAGGAAAACGGAGCATTTTGAGTCTTCCCCCATGTTTAAAGAAATCTATGCCACAAACAATGTTCTCAATTTTAATACTGTAAGCTCTTAGTAAAAGCAAAAATATATCAGCAATGTCACAGATTTTGGGGGGGGGGGAACTAGAGCTTTGCTGAAATAACAGCTTATGGGATTGCAACTCTTTTGCCATGTCTAAACTCTCACTGCCATTCAAGAACTACAGTGGGCTGAAATGGGTTGCCAGTCATAAAATATACAGCATTAGCAGAGGACTTGTGGTACATTCATGAAACTTCTAAAATTGCCAAATCATTTAGAAATTTCATGTAACATTTTGTAAATCCCTTTGAAAGATCTCTTGCTTTGCAAAACATTACAAAATGTACAGTTCAGAGAGGCTCCTGTACAATGTTCCCAAGACAGGATCAGATATGGCAGCAATGTTTCTACAGTACACAAGACACCCTTTGTGATTTTATAGCACACAAGGCAGAACAGAAATGTTCTTTTGTCCCAGGGAGAGCAAAATGAGCAGGTCAGAGACATGGCAAATAACTCACCATATTGTAAGTGGCCTTTATGTCCTTTAGCAATTTTACCAAGCACAACCTGTGCTTAAAGTCTGAAAGCAGTTAAAGAGTTGAAGGACAAAGCAAGCCTAATCCAGTGGTTACTAACACAGACCAACCTCCTATAGCACTGTGCTTTAGCACCCCAACTTCTACACTTTGAGATATTCCAAGTCTCAAAAGCTTTGAAATTTGTTTGCAACTTATTATCTAGTTGGAGGCCAGCTTTGTAGCTAGTGTGAACTGATCCTCAATTCCTTATGAAAAGATTACCATAAGTTTAGGAAGTGTGTAAAAGAGAATATAAATAACACTGAAAAGGAAGCCATTTGCTCCAGTCCTAGACTGAACTTGTGGCAGTGGGAATGACACAATTTTGAATAAAGAAAAACACATTCTCAAGCAATCTAATGGTGATAAAATATTATATACTAGAAGAGTTCAGCTGGAAGGGATCTAACAAGGATCACCTCCCACAGCTGTGATGTCTAGGGACCAGACAATCTAGGACTTTTTCACTACAGCATACAGCAAATTAGATCCAAATCTGGCATACTGACAGAGTAAGTAGAAACTATTTCAGCAAATCAATTTTCCTCGAAATGAATGATAGTATCTATTTACTACAGTGATAACCCATGCACTAGAAATAGTTAATAAAATAAGTAGAGTAATTTTTTAGTTCTGTAATTCTGTTTCTTGCAAAGTAAAATTCTGCTACTTTCACTAGCAACCTGCTCTGCCGAACATTGTTTTCTTCAGTGTATTATTAAGGGTATATGCATTACCCAACTGTAGGCTGTAAGAAGATCAATGCAGACAGCACTCTACTAAATAGAGCTTTCCCCTTTACTAACTAGAAAAACATCTATGACTGCTTTCCACTTAAGCTGAATCAGAACAAAAAAAATTAAAAATGAGATGGGCCTGTCCACTGGAACAATATATGTATGAGAATTTTTGTTTCCAGAAACAAATGAAAGAAAACACCTTTTATGCAAAAACAGTTTTAATAAGGTCAAAGTGTACAAAAAAACTATCAAAAGAAATGTTAGATGAACAGAAAACTAAAGAGCAATTTTGGCCTCACTGGACAATGCATATATATATATGTATAATTGTTTATCCTATATGCTTATTCTGTCCATTCCACTGCTGTCCCAAACCCAGGCACTGTGAGTTTAAAAGAAGCCTGCAGCTAAGAAAGGGTTAAATTATCTTTTACTGACTTGATTCACAGACTTAAGAAAACTTCGCCCAATTCAGTGTTTTGGTTTTTTTTTTTAATATTTCTTGCCAGTCATGTTTTACAGACAACATTCTACCACTTAGCTTTGGTTGGTGCAACACTTTAAAGAATATTTGCTATTCACACAGTTTCCATTAGATATTTAAAACACAATAGGAAAAAAAAGTTAATTTGTCCAGAAGTACAGTCAAAGACACTAAAAAGATATTCTAGAACCATCAGTTGAAAGCCTTTACTGTATCATAGTCACTTCGAGTGTTGTAAAGTAGTTTTCTACCATCTTCAGCTTTTCTTCAGAAAGCAGGTTTTCTTGCTTCAATTGCCTAATAAGAGCTTCCAAGGACCTGAGTCTCCCCAAAGTTTTTACCTCCTGCATTTCAAGTAAAGTTATCTTAGAGTGGAGTTTTGAAATATTTTGCCAAAGATGATCTCTGTCTATGTCTTGTCTGCAGTATGAATGCTCAGTCTGCAGTATTTCATTTCTGTCATATTCAATCACTTCTGTCTCCTCTATGTCAAGAAACTCTTCATTAACAGGCAGCAAAGAACTATTTACTCTTTCAGGCTCTTCTGGATTCTCAGCTGGCATAATAATAGCAATGACAGACTCTTCACTTCCAGTGAACTGTTCAATAGTTTGTGTGACTGTACTCAGTAAAACTGCATCTTCACTTGTCTGCACTTCACTAGAACAGACCACGTGAGGGACAGAATTTTCAACTGCATAGTCAGTAACCAACCCTAAAGCACTGTCCAGTTTCAGAGACGAATTCAAGTAGTCAGGGTCTGTAAATTGCAGGACTGTAGCTTTACAACCTCCTGAATCCTCTACAGAAGTATGAACACTGGTAGCTTCCATGCCCTGGACTGCTGCTGTCATTAAAACAGGATTAGGCTGATGTATGTACTGTGTAGATGAACTATCAAGAATGACACTGTCTGCCAGAAAGCCACCTTCATTTGGAAGCTGCAGGTCTTGAATTTGTAAAGGTTTACTCAGTGCAGTTGAACAAACCACTTCTGCTTTTTTGTCTACATTTTGTGCAATTACAGAATTTTTCTTTGGTGTACAAGGTTCAAGTGGTACAGATGCTTTCTCTGACACAACATTTGTTTCTTCCTTGCTTTCTTTCTGTACCTGTTGTGGACTGTTCTGAGAAGAATCTTTTTCCTGGAGGAGAAAAGAAAACCCAAAATCACCACCTTTTAACAAGAAAATCACTGAGCATAAAAAAAATAGGCAAATTTCATTTCTGTGCTAGTTTGTAAAGATTTATTAAGATTTTTATCTGCATGATATTTTCATAGCATGATATTGCAAAAGGACTAACTTAGATGAGCACTGCCTAAAAATTGTATCAGAAGCCCAAGAATTCATGTAAGTATCTTCCACAACTTTGCTTCAGGTCCTAAATGCTAAAATACTATTTTAAAGCACTAAAAGCAGCAAGAATGTTCAGTTTTTTAGTTTTGCTTTTTTTTCTCATTGTGTTTGGCGTTTTTTATTTGTTTTATTGTGGGTTTTTTTCCAACTTTAGGGAATTGGGATTGTTTTACACAAGATACAGTAATTTTATATGCAGTTGAAGAAAAGTAGTTACACAAAGCTAGCACCTTCTATTACCATCTAAAACATTGTATTAAATATATTAGATGTACACAGTACAAGATTCTTGCATTAAAGGTGATTGTAAACCAGCAATTCAATTCTGCCAACTAAACCTGACAATTTATAAAAATTGAGTACTTTTCTTTCATAGATAGAAATCTTAGCAGAAAAATACGTTAACAGGACTTTAAACAGAAGTTGATAATGAAAGAGAGACAATTTGAAGCTTATCCTTTTATAGCCACTTTATTTTCCCTTCCTTCACATAAACTACATCACATGATTACATTTAAGATCAATATACAAATAAGTTTTAGGTATGTCAGTCAGTGAAACAAAAATACAAAAATAGTGGGTGTCTTATTTTTTCTAGTAGATCTGATTATGAAAATCTGAAGAATCTGTACTCATGTACATGTAAACTGTGCACATGTTTAGCCTGGGAACTAAAAAAAATAACAAACCATACAGAACAAAGAAACAGAAAAATAAGCAATTTAAACGTTGCTAATTAAATATGGGCCAGGTAAAAACCCCTACCAAACCAACCAACCAACCAACTAACAATAAAACTCAAAAACCCAAACCAGCAAAAAAAACAGGAAAAGAGGAAAAAGAAAAAAAAAACAAACCAGAAATACAGAGGATATTTCAGAGATACACAGAAGATAATTTCAAAGTGTATGTTCCTAAAAGTATGTATGTAATCGGAAGTATCCTAATACATTAAACTTTGTGATTCAGTTTTATATGAAACTTCAATCTCAAAAGGCCCGGAAAATTTATACAGAAATAGCATTCATTTGGTTACCTTTACTTTTTCAAAGACAATACTTAACATCACGTCAATCTTTGGGATTTTGTGAAAATGAAACATTTTCCTTTCTTTGTTCTATCCACACCTGAAGAAGACTTTCTCAGACTATGTATTTTAACTAGACAAACCTCTCATAAAATATATTACACAAATGCTCCCCATATCCTCACCTTGCAGAGCTGCCATTAAAGTTGAAGGAAATGCACCAAAACTAGTCTCAAGATAGTTGCTTGAAGGAAAACTTATTTCTATTGGAAATTCTATCATTTCCTGCCCTCCCACTTGTAGGTCAATCTTCAAATAAAAACCTTGCAAGCTAATGTAGAATGGTTACTCATAATGAAATGCTGGCAGCTACCATTGCTCTTGAGCCACGAACATTCTTTATTTAGAAGAAGAAACAGAATGAAATGCTTTATGAAGAATCATTAAGTTTTTCTGGGAGGACATCCTTCACTTGCTCAGTAATACATAAAGCAAGGTGGTGGTGAGCAATATGCAAATACTGCAATTCTTTGCTCTCGGTTTCCAAAGGCAGTTTGGGGCCTCAGCTTCTTGTTCCTCCACATTTAGTCAGAAACACACTAATCAGAAATTCTTCCCCAAAATTCTTCCTCGAAGTAACAACTCTTTTCCATATCTTTCTGAATATTCAGTCTATGTAGAAAGTTAAGGTTTCGAGCAAGTAGAGAACCAGAGGTCAAGTCAAAAGGTATTGTTGATTTGCTGAGGTTGTCACTAAAAGCATATGATTTGATGTTTAGAAAAGCGCAGTGAGAAGAAAGTAATGCCAGAGCCAGAAGTGAGACCACAGGAAAGCAAGTTCACAATGGCACAGATACAAAGCACTGGCATCTCTTTTCTTTTGACAGCAGGAAAATGATGGATGTACTAAAAGTAAGCATAGAAATCCAAACTGGATAAATCCATCTGGGATTTCTCAGATACATATTGCTGATGCCAAAATAATTTAGAGAAGCCATTGATACGTTCTTGGCAATACAACTGCATAAAAAGTTTGTTACCTTAGTAATTCTACTGTCCACCTTTGCAAGTGTACTCTGACTGGTCTATTGTCACATGCAAATCAAGAGAATGAAGAGGTGGGTAAAAGACAACTTTTCTTCGGGGTCAAAATACCCAGCTTATCTGTAACTGCATAGAAACATGGAACAGCAAAGTCCAGTTCCAAATTTACAGGTCCCTGTTACAACAGCAGCACAGGAATGTGAGGGATCTCTAGAACCAGGGCAGGGACGGGTGGTTAAAGGAAAGATATTTCTTGCTAAATTAGCCCTGCTACAGCTTGCAAGATTTTCTGCTTTCGTATTTGAAAGATTGATCAAGATTACTTTTCACTCCACAGAGTCAAAAGAGTCTAGACAGCAGTTGCAGATGTCCAAGAAGACAGAGTACTTCATGACTAAAAATAAATTATTTTGTAAAATTAATTGCCCATATATTTCAGTTTCCCCTATTTATCCTTACATCAGTCCTTCCATTCCTCCCACCTCCAGTGTGATTATCCAGTGGAAGACAAATACGTGCTAGAAGAGAATTAGCCTACGTTTGACCAAGATTAGGTGCCTGTGTAGCACAGTATTTTTATGTAATCAATAGCATAATCTGTTATAGGCTGTCTTTGGCAGCCTACAGTCCTGAGTTAAAGGTTAGGGACTGAAACTAATACATTCCAAAGTCAGTATTTCTGTACAATTAATAAAAGACTTTAAAACAACATTAAAATATTAAGAGAAATTGCATTTAAAAAAGCTTAGAATCATAATATTCTCATATGAAATTTAACATTTTCTATAGTAAATGCTTCTATAACTTCCAGTTAAAGAAAGATATTGAACCTCCACTTAAAATTGGGAAAGTTGTTCTTCCTTTACATTATGTAATCACATACCTGTTTTGTGTCAGTCCTGCTGACAAACTGTTTTGATGGACAGGAATTATATTTTTTTTTTTTACAAATAATTATCTGACAGATTAGAAAAATCTGCATTACGTCAATAGCTGGTTAGCTTCATACTACAAAACAAAACAAAACAAAACAAAACAAAAAGAAGACAAATTACCTCATCATCTGGGGAAGAGAAAATCGTTGGCACAGCAGTATTTTTCAAGTACCGTATGCCCCATCGCACATCCAGGGAATCGGGGGTGAAATGGTCACTGCAGAGGAGCTGGTGCTTACTTGGAGTCCAGGAATCTCGCTTCATATTCCGCAACCATTTCTCAAGCCTCTCTTTATCGTGAAGTGGAAATCTTTTTAAAGCAGTTGAAAAGACAGACAAGAAAATATACAAAAAACCCGTTATTGTTGTATTTCTTTGTTTTAAATAAGAATATCTCATTGTTACTTAGAAGGTAGCCTTTATTTAGAAAAGATTAAAATAATACTTTAAAAAAAAATTTAAGTATTAAATGCTAATCTGGATGTCATATACATGTTAATCCAATCACTGTCCAAATTATTTCTAGATGAGAATTTGCTCTGGAGTTCAGAAGCAGAATTTCTGATTTCTGCTCGTCAAGGGTTTCAGAATCCATGGCCAAGATGTTTTGAAAGGTTCGATCCTACTACACTTGGTCAGAGAGCAGCTCCGCTGAGGGGAGATGAAATACTGAGATACAATTTAAAGAAAGTTAAGACTAGTCCTCATTTTATTAATAGTATTTCTAGGGCTTATATGTCTTTCTAGACAAAACTAGTATTTTCTGTTTAACAGAGTACTTCCTAATACATGTCTCTCTCTGGATTATCAGATAATTTGGCAATACGAATATTTTCAATACAGGATTTAAATTTTATTGAAAGAGTAAATGCATGCAGATTCAAAGCATTTCTATATTTTGTGCTTCAGCAATTAAACCTTCTCACAGCGTTGAGCTCGCATTATATTTTATAATTTAGAATTAACTTTTCAATCATCTAACCTACCTGAAAAGGAAAGTGACAAGTATACACCTTTATAGAAAAAAGAACTGACTTTAAAAATACATGCAAATGGTCAGAGAAATTACATCAGAAAGAGAAACAAATTAAAACGAAAGTGTGTGAAGATATGTAATTTACTTAATGAACTGCAATACACAAATTAAAGGGAATTAAAGGCTTATTATGATGCATGCACTGTCAAGAGGTGATGGTAGCAGGAACACGAACATTCAGATCACTCTTGTCTCTCACAGTATCAGGGTATTTGAAATGTGCTTCTATATTTCTCTGGTGCATATAAATTTTATTTTAACTCTAGCATATAATCACATATTGTACATAAACCACAAGTTGAATTCTGAGCACTGTAAAGTGACTGCTGTTCAGAAAACAGTATTTTTGAGAATCATGAGCAATAATAATTACAAAAGAAAAATCTCTGCTTTTGTGATCCCACCCTCAAATCCCTGAAGTTGCAGGTTTCCTCCAAAAGCTACACATAGCAATGACTCTTACACAGGCCGTGTGTTCCAAAACTGCGAACTCAGGTGATTTTGAGAGAAAGACAGCTGAAATTCACAGCATAAAGCTGCAAGTCTTTACCCCTTCCCCAATCTTTTGAATTTGTTGCCACAGGTCTTCAAATTACCAAGGAAACAGAGCAAGCTTTTGATGCATCCAGCTCTGCTTATCTGCTGGAATGCAAGGAATAATGCTGGTAAGAACACAATAACCTCTGAGGAACAAGTTAGAGGTTCAGGCTTTTCAAATCCTGTCTGCTTAGATCATGTACACCCAGTGGCAGCATCGCATGTATGCCAGAACATGCTCCTCTGTAACACTGCTTAGCCTGGGTGTTACTCCAGAGGTCCAGAAAAGTCTCTCAGGAAGACGATGGCTTCTTTTTATTGAAGGTCATGTGGCCAATCACACCCTCTCCAAGAAGGCCTTGAGGACACTTGCTCCCACTGTAGTTACCCTCACAACACAGGACCCACTGCTCTACCTAGAGTCAACCAGCTTCAGATGGAAAATAGAATAATCTGTAATAAAAATAGTAATCATCTGATAGTGCAAGTTATTATTTTAGCTTAAAGGCAACTTTGCTAAAACCCGCTCATGCTTCAACACTCCCTCACTAATCAACAGAATCTGTTCTCTGATGTAAACAAGACACAAAAAATGGGGAAATGTAAAGAGGAAGAGGACAAAACTTATTCAGCAGCTGTCATCACAACACAAGTCAGAGAAGTGAAGAAATAAAACAAAGAAGGGCAGTTAGGCCAGCTGAGATTAGGTGACAAAAGGTTTGGAAGGGGCTCAGACCTCAACCACAGAGCAAGCAGGACTTCTTCAGTGGCGGTAAGAGGCAAGGGAATAAAACTTACAGTTCATGTCAGTAGTAGTCACTGATAATGATAATATATCAGGCAAGAGAAATCTATAAATCAAATCTCAGCACCCCTTCTACGTGCATGAAACTCGGAATGCAGCACAAGCCCAAGGCTAGATAAAACAGCTAAGTTTTGGCAATCAGCTCCGTACTGATGCCATACATTTGAATATAAACATGTCTCAGTGCTCAAACTTGTTTTGATTATCCATGTGACACGCTCTCTAAAGCATGAAGGAAAAGCAATTATTTTCATGATTGTTTTATGATGTATTCCACACTAAAAATGTGCCAGGGTAATAAGGTTTCCTCCCATCTAAAATAAAATTTCTTTCAAAGCAGTCTTCCTTTAAGTCTTTCCACATAGCCTTCCTGATCTTGGAATAACTATGACTAATCAGAAACTGACAGAAAACTTAGTCTGAGGTACAAATTTTACTAAAACAGATTTTGAGTCCAATTGTGAAATTTATTTTTCACGTTTTTCTTAAGTTGCTTCTGTTGACAAACAGTTCCATACTTTCATTGCACACAAACACATTTAGTTACCTGCACTGTGCTTCTCTCAGGATTGTGAAATACTGTTTATAACTCACCATCCCGGGAAGCGATAGCCAGGTAACCACAACAGTGCAGGGTTACTGCAGGTCTGGGATGGCGACAGGTCCGTGCAGTGTCCGGACAGTACGATGCAGCCACCATAAACTGGTTTTTGGCAACCGAGGTAGCCAAGTTCCAGCTAACTCAGCTGCTTCCAAACAACCAGCAATGCCTCTAATTCACAGCGCAGGTAAGGCAATAATTCTAGTGGGAAAGTTTAATTTTAAGGAATTATTATATGCTTACTTGCTAACTCTTCCGGGCCCTTCTCCTGACATGTGAACTGCCACACACAAGACACTTCACCATTAAGCCACTTCCACTACTGCCTGCCCTGCTGGAACATCGCTTCCACGGGGGGAGGAGCGAAACAGAGTTAGAAGTGCAAATTTTAGTTTTTAGTCGAATCTCCTTGCTCTTCACTTCATGGACCCTCCGCACCCACTCCAGAGTCCTTAGCCGCTGCCGTATCACCGCCGCCTCCCCAAGTTCCCTCGTCTTGTGCGAGGGACGGTGAGTGTGATTACGCCCCAGCTGTCCACTCTTTACTCCCTACACCTTCCCTTCGCCCAGGGTCAGGTTGTTTCCCTCCAGCCTCCCGGGACCGGGCGGGGTTCCAAGGCCACCACCAGCGTAGTGGACCCGCGGCGTTGACTCTTTCGGCCATTTCCTTCCGCGGTGGGGCTCACTACCACCCCCACGGGCAGCGCTCACCCAGACCCTGCCCCGCTCCGCGGCCACTCACGGGTAGAAGCTGAGCTTGCGCTGGTCCTTGGAGCTCTGGCCGCCGCGGTTCTTGCAGCGGGTGGCGGCGCAGTACCGCGGCATGGCGGCCAGCGAGCGCCGGGCGGGGCGGGGCGGGGCGGGGCAGGCCGGGCGGGGCCAGGCCAGGCCAGGCCAGGGCGGGCGGGGCCAGGCCAGGCCGGGGGCGGCGCCGCCTGCTCTCAGCGCCCCCAGCGGCGGGTGGCGACGCCGCCGCGGTTGCGACCTCTCTCATGCACCGCGTCACGTGCGCCCGGGCGACCAATGGCGCAGCGCTTCGTGTTGGAACCGCGGGGGGCTGGACTGCGCGAGCGCCGGGCGCGGGCGGGCGGGAACGCGGCGGCGCTGAGGGGCGGCGGCGGCGGCGGAGCAGCGGGGCCGGCGCTGAGGTGAGCACGGTACGTGAAGGGCGGCTGCCTCCGCTGCTGGGTGAGGGTTCGGAGAAAGTGGAAGGTTGCTGAAGTGGGTGGAGTGAAGGCGAACGCGGAGGGGTCGGGGAGGCATTGGGAAGCTTGAGGCAGCGTGGGAAGCTAGGCGGGGGGGAGCGTAGGAGACGGCCACTGAGGCTCGGTCCGGAGTATTTATTTGGAATTTGGGCCTCTCTGGGTCACGCTGCGATGGTGTTTGCCAGCCTGGCTGCTCTGGAGGTGGGACAGCGTCGCTCAGTGTGGCTGTTAGCGGCTGCCCTGCTCTGGCCTGGCCGCGCCCCGCTCGGTGGTGCGGTTCGACTCCAGCGAGGTCTTCAGGAGTTTGGATAGGCAGAGTGGTGCTCAGTGATTCCTTCGTTCCCCTGTGTTCTAGGGCAAGATTCAGGAACCTTCTTCTGCGTTTTCTTTCGAGTCAGTATAGGAGAGGCTACGACAAGTACAAGCCCCTCAGTTTGACAGACTTGCTTGTAGCTGCCTGAGGATTGGAAGACTTGCTTACTCATCAGATTAGTCGTAGTAGCAGAACCAAGGGAAGACCTCTGTAACTTTATTACTGTTAGTAAGTTTGTAGAAATAATTATAGGACGTGAGCATTCCACAGGCTAGTGTATAGCAATTCTGTAATGAGAGCAGTAGCAGAACGCTGGTGATGCTCTGTATTCTCTGAGTATGTGAGAATTTGAATACAAGCATTTATCTAAGGTTTTGGTTAATTACTTTCAAAGAAGGATGGAATAGGGTATTTGTATTGCAAGATGAAGTAGCTTCTTAATTTCTAAATCTGACAGATTTTATTCTAGGTACATCATCTCCAGGCGTCACTTCATTGTGCAGCTTTTGATAAATGTTGATAAACTAATGAAGAACTGTTATCACCTCTGTAGTACTTTGGAATAAACATCAGACGGTGCACTTCTTGTGCAAAGGTGAATAGTAGCTGAGATCTGTACCTGCTTACCCAACAGAGTTAAATAGTTAATATGTGGCATAAGGTCTCTTACTTCATTGACAGATGTACCTAAATAAAGCGTAGCTCTTCATAATTATTAGAAGAGCTTATTATGGCATGAGCTTAATGTGTACAGAATTTATTGAATTCTGGACTATGGTTAAGTAGCTACAGTGTATGGCGTGGAAGGTGCAACTTACCTGTCCCTTTTTGATTGAGACACAGAGGGTGAAGAGACATAAGCAAAAAAAGTATTTAAAAGAGACTATTTTGAAAAGGATTGAAAAAATTGTTAGCAGTGGTAAGGCTGAAGTAGTTGACAGTAGCAACAACACTAACAGCATATAAAATAGGTGTTTTCTAAAAAGTAAATTGAATCATCACAGTATCTAAATATAAGACTTGCTCTCTCTAATAACCCTATGAAGTTTAAAATGCTGCTTGTACTGAAGTTGTATTTGTGTTTGGTTTTCATTTACATCTTAATCTTAAATTTGAGTTTGATTTGTTCAAGGGGAGCATTAAATCTGTGTTTTCTAGTTTAAAAACTAGTGAAACTTAAATAATGGTTATTCACTATGCTTTAGAAATCATATATAGGAAAGATCTTCATTACAGAATTCCTAATGTAATGAACTGTAGAAAAGGCAAAGTTCAGGTGTATTTTGCTATCAAGAAAAATACAAGTTGAGATGGTTAGCCAGAGCAGAAAACCTGGAAAGATTAACTCGTTGATCTCTGGCTCTTATGAGTTATGAAAGAGAGTTTTTTTGCTCTTAATGAAGGACACACTTCCTTTTAGCTCTCGTTGGTGTTCAGTAGTAGAAGCAGGATGCTTGATGTTAAGAGAATACAGCAGGTGATTATACAAACATGATACAGGTGTGGGTTAATGAAGTAAATAAAAGCAATCACATGTGTAAGATGAACATGTAAGTCTGCATCTATAAAGCACAAACAGGAAGAAAGCCCCAAAAGGATGTATGTGTGTGTAGTTCTAAGTGCCCAAGTGGTAAAATTTCAGGTTAGTGAAGTGGTGAGAGAAGAAAACTTTTTACTAAAAATATATTTGTTATTTTTCATGAAGAATACTGGAAAGAACTGTCCATTTGGTATCTAAGTGTACTGATCAAAATACAGTTTGTTTCGACTGCTGCCCCTTAACACTTGATATTATGTCGGCTGCTGGCCAAATAGCTGCTTAAGAGGGCATGGGGAGATTAATCTTGCAAGCCTTTTGCTCTCGTCTCACAGCATTCATTTTAGACCCCTGACTTATCTGTGAGAACTTGTATTCTTTTTTCCATTTTTGGTTCGTGCATTTTAATTTTATTTAGACTTTCAGGTAAATGCTTAATTTTCATATGTATCAGATATTCAGAGGTTTTGAATTCTGCCTGACAAATACTGGGTTCTGTGCTGGCTGGCAAAAGTGTTCTAACTTGAATGGTGCTCAGACTGTAAGTTTGTTTATTCAACTTTGAGGAAAGTAACACCAATCGTCTCTGGGCTGTTCTTCCATTACATGAAAATCAGTGTTATCTGGTGGGAGGGAAATGTTACATCTGGAATGTTTAGGGTCTTGTCGTACATCCTTCTGGTCAGGTGTCAGCCAGCGTTCTGTCTTTTAACATTTGCCTTTCTGCACTCTGTGTTTTAAATATAATATGCACAGGCATATTATTTGTTCTTACCTTCTAGTAGGAGCAGCTCACCCTGTCCTTCATGAAAATCATGAGACATCATGTGGTGATGTGGAACTGTTTTTAAATCATTTATATATGCCATAATTTCCCCATAAGTTCAAAATACTACCTTTTTGACAGATGTGTTGTTGAAAAAAAAAGTTACAGCTTTTAATTATAGTTGAAGCTACTTGTGTTATATAAAATACTTTTTTTTGCCTTCAGTTCCAACACTGAGGATTTAATATGTAAACCTTTCTATGCAGTGGTGTTTATGAGATGAATTCTTTGATATCAAAGATATAGTAGGTGTTTTACTTTGTAATGCAATCTGATATGTGAATGAGCTAAGCCAACCTATTGCTAAATAAAGGAAAATGCTTCACTTGACTGAACTCTGGAAATGAATGATCTGCTCTTTATTGTTCACCTTAGGTTGGTTAAACAAACTGAAACTGAGCGCAAGTGTCTGATAGTCTTGTCTTCCTGCACCTCACTCATCTCTAGGCCAGTTGTGTTTTCAGTCTCCTATTGTTGTGCCAGCTAATCAGTGAATTGGTCTTCCAGTAGAGTCAGCAGCTTGTGCTTAATTTAGAGCTGCTGTGTTTGTGGTCCTAGAACTCAAGGATTAATGTAAAACTAATTCAGGTATGGCAGTTTGAAATGTTAGCTGCAATGAAATGTGTTCTGTTTTTACTTTTGCAACTTTGTATGACCACGATCAGTTAAGTGTAAAACAAAGATGAGCACTAAGGTCGTTGTTACGCGTGTGAAATGTCACTTTGCAGTATTTTCAATTACATATTCTGTGAATGTGAAAACAGCGTAATGGAGTTTGACAGGTGTAAAACAGGGCACTTACAAGTCTGTCCTTGACTCCTGAAACATACTGGTCTTCCTCTGCCAGCCTACAGTTGTAACTAAGCTGTTGTGGAATGTAAAATAACTCATTCTTCAAGTATATTTCCTTTTCTTTTTAGGAACTGGAGAAATGGCCACTACACAATCTGTCTTCACATTTGCTCTCTGCATTTTAATGATAACTGAATTAATACTGGCTACAGAGAGCTATTATGATATCTTAGGAGTTCCAAAAAATGCATCTGACCGCCAGATTAAGAAGGCATTTCACAAGCTGGCTATGAAATACCACCCAGACAAAAATAAGAGTCCCGGAGCAGAAGCAAAATTTAGAGAAATTGCTGAAGGTAATATACACTGTCTTTTGTCTTAATAATTTGATACATGTCTTATATCTATAACTAATTGCATTTTGTTTTTACTGAATAAAACATATAAAGGGTTTTATTTTCCTTAATTCTACTTAAGTGCTGTCAAGTGTCCAACATCAGAATCTGAGTTGTTTCTGTGCTCTTGCACATAGGAAGGCCTTTTACACAACTTACGCATTTCTGCTTATTAGGCTTTTGGCATATTCCTCTTCTCACAAAAAATACTGGGTAGTAGAACAGCTTTAGCCCTAGGAGGTTGATTGTTACCTTTTGGTCTGTTCCATAAGATCCAGCTCAGGATTACTACCAGGGCTTCAGGTAGCCTAACAGCAACCTTGCAGTAACTATGGGGAGATTATAAGAAAACACACAGCAGGTTGCTTCAGTGGTTCATGGTGGGAAAATAATAGAGAACAGGTGCAAGGGGTTCGAGTGGTTATAAGGAAACATTTTTTTACCTTGAGGATAATGGTTGGATTTGATGATCTTGGAGATATTTTCCAGTCTTAACAATTCTGTGACTCTGTTCT